GATCGTGTAGATTTAAGTCCCGGAGATGAGATTGAGGCTGCACATAGTGACACGTATCAAACGGGAATCTATTTCCGTAGTGGACGTTTGGGATCGGTAAACGACAGGTACGAGATATGCGTCGTTGTGTTTTAGTCGGAGACGGCACCAGAGTAAGTCCGTAGCGTGAGTTTACAGATAATCAACTATTGCACATTGCAGATCGCTGAGGTAGTAGAGTAGGACCCCACCTCCTCTACTGGGGCGGTCGTACCGAATGAGTGACATTCCAGCTATCTCAACCTCAGCATCAGGCACCGCTTGGTGTAACCAAGTTTTGATAATAGAAATTAGGTCTCAAGCATTCGCAAGCTGACGTAGCCAAATTTCGGTAAGTTTACTGAGGAGGCTTTTGTTGTTAGCTTACATACAGGAAATTTTCTTAGATGTAAGCAATGTTTCGGAGGTTGTGCAACTCACATGTGAATTTTTGATGATCAGCGACTGGCCGGCGACTAATCGTTTTTTGGATGTGTATTTGGTGTATGGTTTGACGTCTTATTCATCATCCACGTAGTTAGACCCTTGTCTAATCTTCTAAGTACAGTATAAGGTGTCTGGGCAATATCATCTTCCACATGTTGTATTGGCTCATTAGACACACTACTGGTGCATCGTTCTTTTATAGGTCCTATCGTGTTTGGTTCTTTGAGTGGCATATCATCTCTAGGATGCGTATCGCTGACAGTCTTAGGCCGAAGCTGAGATGGTAGCCTGCAACGGAACATGTACTAGCTTTTCAGCAGCCGTGCTACCATATGTTTTGACTGAAGGACCGCCTTCAACACTCTCGGGCCAATTCCTTTGTAGTTCGGTGAGGCATGCAGCTGCGACACGGATTTCGCTAACACATCATCCAAGCAGATTGTTCCACGAATATAACACTACTGTTCTTTATCTTGGGTAGTTATTTCATGCTCAAAACATGTTTCATTTTCAGGAATCCTGTGAAAAAGTATGGTTCTGGTTGAAGTTTCCTTCTGGTAGTCCTCTAAGGTGCGGTTAACTCGATAACGCTCGCTCCATGGGATGTATGGAAAGATACGGATGGAGCAGTGTACATTTCTAAGACTACCTGTCGACAGTAGTACTGATTCCCCTTCAGTGATGGAGTTCAACACAACGCGCAGAAGTGTTGGTTCTCCGAAATGCTTAGAGTTGGGGTGTCCCGTAATACGCACTACTTGTTCAGATTTCAGTACAACTCCGATTAGGTCACTAATAATATCCCATTGGTTGGGGTCATCTAAGTGCCTGTCTCTTTTCGATGTCGACTTTGATTATGAGATATTGGAGCACCGTAGGCTCAGTACGGGTGCTTGTTTCTTTACACCTTTCGACATGTGGCGCTTAGTGTTTTAAGTGCTCGGAGATGTACTGCAGGAAACCGGTGGTGCTTGCACTAGGAAAACTCCGCTACGCTCCTCAGGTTCCGACCCATTTGGGAGTGATGTTAGTTTTAAATGACGGCGCTTCTTGGAGGCAACCGTAACCCAACTTTCGTTAGTACCGGAGTGCTCTTTTTCTACGCACTCCGTCGGGAGTTTGGAAGTAACCTTACGTGTAATTACTCCGAGCGAACTGGGAAGTGTGTTAGTCAAATCTGAGCCACGTGTGGTATTGGGACAGCTGTTGTTGTTCTGGACTCTAGGTGTCGTGTTGCTAACGGTGTTCTTCGCGCATTAGGAGCGACACTTACGGGGGAGGATTGGGTTGCACAATACCCTATGCTTCAGCCAACCGTAGTGATTTTGGTGGTCATCATTTCCTCAAAATTGGCTAGTAGCTGATAATAGTTCTGAGATAATAGGAGCACGCTTTTTATCAGTGGGATTGTTGTGCATCCCACGTAGAACCATAGCGAGCCTGGTTTGTTTAATAACTTGGTCTGACTAGGTTTAAGTTGGAAGCAGCTCGCATGGAACTTGCAATGGTTACGGCACAAAATGCCCCCTTAACAAGTTTGGAACATGATCCATATAGGTCTTTAGACTGTGGCACACTGCGCATCGCGCTTGTTGAGCAAATGTTCCGAACCATTTGAATGACACCCTCTATGGTAAAAAGTTGTTCTGTTACTGACGTTGTCGGCAGGATCGCGGTGTTCACGTTGCAGTTGTGTGCTTGCAGACTGTCCTGTCTGGCGTACCGGTCTAATGCGTCAGCTTGAACGTGGGGCAGATTACACGAAGGTGTGATTGAGAATTTTCGTGGTTAAGCCTATAAATCGCACCGAGTGAATTTGCCTTGAGACCTGTGGGTACACCAAGCAATGTTGGATTTGAACGAGTGACAGTTCGTTCGAAATCTGTTGCAGTGCTCTATCGAGTAGGACCAAACAATCTCTCCGATGGTTAGAGTTAGGCGATTTTTGGTGCTTGGATATCGGCGAAACACTGCCCGGAACTGAGAAATCAGGGTAAATGTAGTATGCAGTGGAGTGTACTAGAGAAAATAGTATAACAATGTGGGGCTCTAAAAAGCACGACATATGAGTATAGATCCAAAGTTGTGCGACAAAATGCCGCTGAGCCACAGTGCAAAAACCACAAGTGCACAAGTGAGCGATTTGCACGCACGTTCGCTCAACCCACTAAAAAGACGTCCGCCAGTGTTACATATCCACATCCCTAGCCCCAACTTCAACACACACTAACATCGATTTTACTGCCACAGTTGTGTTGGAAAATCTGCTCTCACTACGCACCTATAGCTTTCACGGAATCCATTATATTCACTCAAGGGCGCTGAAGGTAGCAGCAACAAGGCTAGCCAGGCATTTTTCGCATTTCTTCCAAGCGTGTTTGGACAAACAAATTGTGCTTACCACGTGGAAACATGGCGCAATCACACCAATTTTTAAAAACCGTGATAGCCTTGCTTTAACCTACTATCGCCCAGTGGTCCACCTCCCTGTGCTCTCAAAGATGATGGAGTCAATCATCGATGAGGTTTTAGTAGACCACCTAGGAAGCCACAACATCTTTTCACCCGAGCAAACGGTTTCCACCAGCACCGTTTATACACTACTAACCTACTGATTGCAAGCAGTAGTTAGACGGAAGCAGCCGATACGTGCAGAGGTTCAGACATCATTTACCTCGACTTCCCCAAAGTCTTCGACTGACTGGGTCCATCGCATTCTGCTTCACAGGCTCAAAAACTATGGTGTTGGTGAACCTCTCCTTGGGTAGATCAGGAATTTCCTGCAGGATCAACAATCGCAGGTCAGAGTTTGAAGTGCGCTGTCCAATCCGATTTATGTCGAATGTGGAGTTCCACAAATATCAATACTGCGGCAACGCCAGTAACTCTTGTTCAGTAACAAGCTTGCGGATTCGAGCCCTACCAGGGTCCGATGGAATGCGCACTGCTGACGATTCTGGAGAGGAAGAGACTCGCGAACAGTGCTTTTCCGGGCGTGTGATGTTTGTCTGACTGAGTCTAGATGTGACGAATTTCTACCTATTCTATTACAGTAGAGTTTTGGGGAAAACTAGAAACTAAAGAACACATGAATTGCATCTGAACATTTGCCTCTTTCCGTATAATATTTTACTGTCCAAATGCGTACACAAATCTATCCAAATAATCACCGGAACGAGTAATCCACTGTCCAAACAATGTGTATTTGTTACTGGGGTGTTGGAAATTGATTTTCGTCAAGCAGTTGGTGAGTTTTATAAAGTTTCCAATTGTCTGTGTTATCTGGCTTATTATTGCAAGTTGTTCCTAGAAAAGATTGTATATTTGACAGTTAAGAAAGGGTGAAAATTTTACCAAAAATCGTTGTATAGCTTACACAATATTGCTTAGAAATCTGTCAGAACGATACCCTTGTGAACAAAACATGCAACATGGTAGCAACGCGATATTGATTAAGTGCAACATTTCGGTTCCGTTGATATATCCTCCTTCAAGTGATTGTTGCGGATCTTAAACCTGGAACTGCCTGACCTATACACCAATATGCCATACGCTTTTTAGAGTATTTGATAAAAATGCCGACTTTTCATCTTCAGTATTTTACTGCATCATGTATCAGTATTTAAACTGCTATCTACTTTAACGTGATTTAAGTTTTTCTATTAACAGTTAAAGATGTGTCCGATTAACTACAACACAATTAAACGAAGAATAATCGGAAAAGCAACAATAGCACAAGACAGTCTTGCTAATTGAAATATGCCAATGCAAGTGATGGAATAGAACGTGGTCCTTGACTTGAAATGATTCGATGTCGCCAGCAAACTGATATTTGGATACAAATATTACATAATAATATTTCTTGACTGGACCTATAACCATTTTCAAAAATCTTTAAGAATCTCACTTGTTGCTTGAGCTGTGATTGTAGTTGACTCGAGCATGCGCATTGACGAAATACATAATATTTGCGCATGGTTCTATTTGACCTTAACCCTCCTTTGGTACGGAGTTCAAGTGCGGATGCAAAGCGTTCAGGAGGCCTCAGCAGCTTGAGTAGCACTTCACGTCATTGGCTTGACGTAGAGATGCTTATACCTACGGAATACAAGCGCCTGCTAATCACATTGATGAAAACGACTCAATCGAACGATGTGTCCTGAACAAAGATTAAATTCTACCTTCTCTGTATAAGGCGCTACATAGGCGACTGATCCGCATTTGTGTTGTAACTGTGTTTGCGTACAATGACACAATAATGCCTGCGATCCACGACATGTGCCACTGTCCCGCGGTCTCTAGAATGACTTTTGGTGTTGGCTACACCATCTTAAATTTACTCACCAACTTGATCGCAGTCGATCCAATACGCGAAGGATGGAGAGACCAGCACCGTGCAGTTATCCTAGTCCCTGGTTTAGCCGGGTCTAGGGCATACGTCAGACCAAGAGGTGAAGTGGATGCACCATTTCTACAAATATGGCTCAATATCAGCAGTTTACTTAATACCAGAAACTTCACACAGGAGTTTGCGTATGTGTGTGGTTCACCCAACCACACGATGCCCCTCTTCTATACCTAGATTAACGTATCTGAACACAACCCATCGATCGTACGATAGCGAAGAGTATGAGGTTGTTTTTCCCGGCTGGGGAGACACTACGAATATTGAATTCTTTGATGAATCACAGAAGGTGTTTGGCCGTAATTACAATGCACTTTTGAAGGAGCTGCTTAAAACACCGTTTTATCAACAGAACATCAGCATTCGAGGAGCGCCCTATGATTTTCGCAGAGCCCCACGTAAGACACCAATCGTGTACATCCCGGTTAACTGCATTTGCAGATGAAAATGAGAAATTCATGAGTCAATTTAAGGAGTTAATTGAGGAGAAGTATGTCCGAAACGGGAGAAAAAGGGTTGTTATCGTCGCTCACAGCATGGGAACTATGTATACTTTATACTTTCTGAACTTGCAATCTCAGTCGTGGAAGAAGACCTACCTGGAAGCGTTTGTGTCTGTCAGTGGTCCTTTTGGAGGAGGCTCAAAAGCTATGGCAGTCATTGCGAGTGGTCAGTGTAACTAACTGTCGCTGTTTACGCGCACTATAAGATAATCGTTCGATGAAATAATTGTCGTGATATTATGAAGTTGCGTATTCCTCATTTACCTGCCTGTTGACACCTAATATGGTGAAGTCTCACACTCCTATTTTATCTGCTTCTTAGCAACACTATCTTCAATCTGCATTCGTTCACCTGGTAGTATTTTGTATAAGCTTTGGTTTCTTGTATTCCGAAATGCAGGAGATAATCTCGGCAGTCCATTCTATTCCGCTTTGCTTTTGAGACGGTTGCTACGGTCCTCTACTTCCTACGGAATGTTCCTACCTGATCAGCGGTTGTGGTCGCAGGATGAACAGATAATCATTACTCCAAATACCAACTACTCTGTCTACAATATAAAGAGATTCTTTGAGAATATGGGTTACTCGATGGGTGAGTTGAATAGGTCTAACTTTTTGGTTTTGCTAGAACTGTCGGAACATCGACTGAGACTAATTCGCTTAGAACTATTCACTAAGTTTGGAAATGAAATGTGCGTCGTCCATGTACAACCGTTTTCCCTGACTGGTAGTTTTAACTTTGTAATATCGATGTGAATTGAACGGATTATTAGCGATAAACTACGTTCTGTCATCATTTATTTCCACAGGTTTTTGTTATTTCCGGATTTCAACACGCTGACGGTCAAAGCTGGGACTCGCTGTAGGTCACGTGCAAAATCAATGAAATTCACTAGTCTACTGCTTCACTAGCACTCGTGGAGATATTAAATAATGGCTGTATAATATCTTCTCACACCATTTCTTATTGATCGAACATACTTGTCTCATTTAGCTCAGCATGTCATTTAGCACCTCAGCAACGGCCATCAAATCTGTCTGTGGCTTTAATTCTAATATCGACTTTAGGACAACCTGCCATGGGATAGCCATGCTCAGGCAATCCACCGGTGGATGGGTCCTCAGGATAAAGATGGCAAAACCTTCTGTTCTATCAAATATAAGCTTCTTCCGCACTAGCAGTCCTAGCAGTGACGTGGCAATTAATTTTCCGCCCGGGAAGTTGGTAAAATGCTCGCCCCGACTGCGGGCAGAATAGACGCGTGAATGTCACGCAAACGGTTTAGAATAAACGCCACATTAGTCGTTTGGGTTACTGAAGTAAATGTCGTGAAATTATCCACAACGCGATAAATAAGGGACCATTGTGAAGAACGTTTGCATAGATGTAAGGAACGATGCTGAGGTATTGTCCGTCAGGCGAAGTATCATTTAAATATTCATGTCTCAGCTTATTTGGAACGCGTGTCCTTTATATTTGGTATCTCACAATCAAAGGTACCAAAATGCTGCCCCTGTCACTTACCGCTCGGGAGTTACCGTTCTCCTTGATACGACTCTGAGACCTAGAAACTTGAATCCACTGTGTCGCACTCTGAAGCTAAAAGCATTCGCACCTTAGATATGCAAGCGATGATATTAGAGGATGAGTGAGTCTGTCTTATCACCTGGCCCCATATGGCTGAAACATTCATGCATTCAATCTCAGGATGTACTAGGGCTGTCTGGCTGAGGACACCTATTCCAAACTCATCCTATTTACAGCAAGCAGCTGAAAAGAAGTTTGAGATATTCCAGGCAGTAGCAAGAGGTAAATAACACGATTATTCTCCGATCATTGCATAAGTAACCGTGTAACAGTTATTAAAATTTGGGATAGATATGTCAACAATCTACCTAAGCAATGGTTGCAACACTGCTAGGAAATATTCAGATATACGTATGCATTTTCATGCATTTGGTACACCTAACCCTACCTCTTAACCTCCGTACTTGAGCATGCAGTAAAACATCCGAAGTTGACTATCTCTATCTTCTGTCCACCCACACTAATTTGGCTGTTTTACTTTCCAGTACTCGAATATTTAGTATGTATACATATTAGATGGAGACGTCTCCATGTTGACTCCCTCGGTTCAGTTCTTTCAGTGATCAAGTTACAGGGGTTTTGCGACATTTACTTCGTATTATGCGACGGCATGAATCATTTGTAATGCTTTGGATAGATCGTCCTTGAGATCAGCTTCTCGTTAAGAAGAGAAATACACAAGTTATTAGTTTATTTATAGTCCGGGTGCTTACTTATGGGTTACAAGTTGCATATAGCTCATCTGTTGCGTGATACAGCCAAACGAGGTGGTTTGCTCATTTGGTGACGCAAGATCTCAAAGAGCAGATGATTATTTTCAAATTATCCAGAGCGGCTCCAATTTAGCGGAGAAGTTGAGAGCAGTGGGAAGGTGGTTATTAAAAAAATTCAATTGCAAAACGCGGCTATGTTTTCTCTCCTCAGACGGAGATTGCAGGCATTGAACCCGGGACCTGGAAACGCGTAATGTTGTGAACTAATTTCGGACGGGAAACACCCATATTTCATCTGCTACAGCTATGCTTCTCGTGACCGAATGACCTATGTTCAATTCAATTGGAATCGCGGTCAGCATTGAAATTGCGTGGCGTAATCCATCCACACAACATGTATTTGAAAATGATCTAAACGTCCTCGGCTATGTTTTGTTTATGAAGTACCCAAATATGTTCCAAAATGTTTACGGGGAGTTCTATCGATAACTCATTAGAAATACAGTAGTTGAAATTAGGATGAAAATGTTTATTGAAAAAACTTAAAGTGTATTAATAAGATTATCCTTGGAACCTTCTCCTTAGAGCTTGCTTGCATGCCGAGTAGTTCCACGAAAACTATCATCAGCACTATTTATAAGCCACTCAGCAAGCTTTAAGTTCCGACTCTTTGGAGTCAGGCACAAATTTCTCCTCGCCATGTTTGAGGCAATTGGCCTCATGTTGCGGGAATGAATTTATTCGAGAGCTTCACTTCGTCACCCCAGGATATCGATCTAGTCAGAGCAAACAATGGAAAAGAGAAGTACAGAATGTGGTGAAATAATACTCCTGATTGATTGAAGAGATTCTGCCTCAGCGTGTACCTCGTCAAAGTGTGTGAGTTGAAGAATTGCCTGAGGCCGGTAGTTGCGAATTTCACCCACATACCTCTTGGTCTGATTCGTTAGATTCCGCGGTGTCTACTGATCTGTGGGTTGTACAGTTATATCCATCATAGTCCGCTCGCAGTCAGGATAACTTTAACGCCTGAGTTAAATGTCAGCAATACAACGCTTCATTATGTAGTGAAACTTAACCGTTTGCTTGTACTTGGATTTTCAGGTTATGACATATTCCTGACTGCCAAAAATGCCTTCCTACTTTTGTTTTGCGATAGAATTCCTTGCCTCGGGTACTGAAATAACTCTCAAAAAAAGAAGAGCAAGAGAACAGGATAGCTCATCCTTATTTGGCATTGCCACCTTGTTGAGCACGGTTGGGACCAGCTTCAGACTGTAACTTTGGTAAACGAAGGTTTGAAATATAGCAAAGAGAAGCACAATAGCGTCTAGCAAAACCTGAGGCACAATGATCCCTCACGTTCATGCAACCTCCACCCCTAAATACATCTGTTAAGGTCATAGCAACGCAGACCTAAATGAATTCAACGCCCCGAAGCATTTTGCTACTCCTTTCTTACTTGGTCGGCCACCCGCTCATCAATTTTACTTAGACCTCTGCGACATTACCTTGCTTGATTCCGCTGACCTAATGGTTCGGTGTACACTACCTGCAGAGCCTCCTGAGCTTTCCCACGTCTTATCCGTAAACCCTACTCAAACCGACCCTAATCCTTTTTTATCGCGCACTGTTTTAGAACTCGTTTTAATCAGACGGCCAGCTCTCACTGGTTTGCCGTGATCAAGCCTCACTTGGCTAGTCTGTTTCTCCCCGACTGCACTTATCCTACCGAGACTTAAACGGTATAGGATCCGCAGACTTAACTCTGTTACCATTACCTCGATAGACGCCTGTACTTGTTCACTCGTTATAGTTATAGACTTTTTCGTAACTTTATTGTACGCCTTAATAAAAAGCACCGATTAATACACTCCCGATTATTCGCCGTCCGACTCACCGAATTCATTCAGACTTCTGAGACCTCACCTCCTGGTTCAGATGAGTTAATGGATTTATTTACGTTACCTGGACAGCCACGTGGCACTTTCCCACATTTAGCAATAAACCCTTCTCAACTTGACCCTAAGCTTTTACTATAACTCATTGTGATTTCATTCTTTTTCTATCGGACGGTCAGCTACACTGCCTTGCCGTGAGCTAGTCTCACCTGACCTGTCTGTTGCTCTCTAACTACTCATCTGTAACCGTGACTTCAGCGGTACATACTATGCAAACGCAGACCTACGTTTTCCTCACCCCTAGGACCTGCTAGACTTGTTTACCCTATATTCTTTTTAGCCATTTTCTTACCTTCGTTTTACGTCGCAATCCCAACTCGGCCACCAATCCAGTCTCGCTGTATCGGCCTCCCGTTCCCGAATTCACTCAGACTTTTGAGACGTTACCTTTCCAGGTTCGGCTATCCTAATGAACTATTTTCTCGAGAGCCTAGTTGATTTTTTCACTATTTTAAGAAAATTCTTTCTCACCCCACTCTGTCTTTTCCTTATCCCGATCTCTGATTGCTTTACAACCGGATGGCCATCACTGTGCTCTGCCTTGGTCTATTCTTATCTGACCGTGTTTATGCTTGCTGGCTTATTACATACTACCGAGGCGTATATGATTAAGTGTTGCCTACCAAAACATGTTTTCCCCGAGAACTTTGTTGGACTTGCTCATGTTTTATTAGCATAGCTCCTTTCCTTCCTAACCTTAACCATCACCATGCGTCTTCCCAACTCAAGTAAACGACTTAGTATCCATCCACCGACTAATCCAAACTCCTTGGATCGGGCTCTCGCCCTCCAATTTTGCGTAGTCTACTGTGACATCACTGTTTACGGTACGGCTAACCTAAAGCTTTTATGGAACACATGTACAAGAGATATTTAGGTTATAGTGATACGTATATTGTGTGGCATATTAGTGAAAGC